TAAATAACATCCTACTGGGCCTTTCGCTCACGTTTTATGTTTTAAATGTATTAAACCCCTCCCAGGAGACTCTAGGAGCGGTGCACAGTAGCTGGATATTTGCTACGGAGCAGCTAAGTTGTGCTGCAGTTGGAATCAAGTGAGGATTGTGGTTATCCTCTGATACAAATGTAAGGAATTGAGAAATTCTGTAAACTTATATAATATTTGGATTTACTAGACTGTGGTTGATGTTTGTTTTAATGATTATTTACATGAGCATGTATGTACGATACTGTATGTCGTGTGGGGTGGAGCCCTATGTGTCAGAGGCTCCGAGATTCTGTAATTTATTTATATTTTAATGCAGTCAAGTGTGGGGCCCGGTTGGGAATCTGCTTTATTAATTCCAAATCGAGTTCCACGTCACCCACTCCGTTTGGGGGCGTGACACGTCCACGGCTTTACTATAGATTTTAAAATAACAATAGTTTATAATTTGGCAATAACAAGTATTCTGTGGGGTGTGTGAAGTAAAAAAAAAAAATTCATTTTCATTACTTTTTTTTGTAATAAAATATAATTTAATAATTATGTGTATTATAATTGTCCTTCTTTGTCATTTTATTTGAGTGTGTTTTTGTCATAATAAATTTTAATTTAAAGAGGAGTGTGAAGAGTAAAACCACCCATGCCAAGATAGGCATGTGACAAAAGAAACAAGTTCGGCTATTTCCTATATGACCAAAATAAAAAAAATAAAAAATAAAAAAAATAAAAAATAAAAAAAGTTGGCTCTTTCAAAAAAAAAAAAAAAGAAAAAAAAAGAAAAAAAAAAAGAGAACAGTGCAGTGAATAACAAATTTTTAAAACTAGGTTAAGTGAATAACATATTTTAAAACTTTTTAAAGTAAAAAGCAATTTACTGCGTGGTTTATTTATGACTAATACTAAAATATTTTTTAAGCTAATAACTTAATCAATTTATGGAATAGTCTGAAACCGACACTTGACATGCCTCGAGTCATTGCTTTTCAATTTGTGGGTCCTATTTATTTTGCATTTCAAGTTTGGATGAAAATTCATTTTCATTACTTTTTTTTGTAATAAAATATAATTTAATAATTATGTGTATTATAATTGTCCTTCTTTGTCATTTTATTTGAGTGTGTTTTTGTCATAATAAATTTTAATTTAAAGAGGAGTGTGAAGAGTAAAACCACCCATGCCAAGATAGGCATGTGACAAAAGAAACAAGTTCGGCTATTTCCTATATGACCAAAATAAAAAAAATAAAAAATAAAAAAAATAAAAAATAAAAAAAGTTGGCTCTTTCAAAAAAAAAAAAAAAGAAAAAAAAAGAAAAAAAAAAAGAGAACAGTGCAGTGAATAACAAATTTTTAAAACTAGGTTAAGTGAATAACATATTTTAAAACTTTTTAAAGTAAAAAGCAATTTACTGCGTGGTTTATTTATGACTAATACTAAAATATTTTTTAAGCTAATAACTTAATCAATTTATGGAATAGTCTGAAACCGACACTTGACATGCCTCGAGTCATTGCTTTTCAATTTGTGGGTCCTATTTATTTTGCATTTCAAGTTTGGATGAAAACGTACATATACAATTGCCCTAAGCTAGCTGATCAAATATAAATAGATCGGGGCACTACATATTTATTTCTACACAAACACAAGTTTCATTTGTATTAGTTCTCTCTCATAAATAATACAATTCCCATTCTGTGTGTTTCAAAATGAAGGTATTTTACTTTTCTTTTCCTTTTCCGAAATATAAACTCGTGCATATATATTATAGAATTAAAGTTAGATTTGGTTATAACTAATATATATTCAAATGAATAAAGAAAAGATTTTTGTGTGACATGCTCCTGCTGTGCAGCAAAAGATTTTTTTGAGGGTGCAGATGAAGTGTAACAAGTGCAAGAACAAGGCCATGAAGAAAGCAGCGGTTGCACCAGGTCTTTTTAATTTTACACAACCCAACCTTTTTTTTCACTTATTTGAATAATGAGATTCAACGTAAAGTACATAAAATCACATGGAACCATATTAAGGAACAAATATTTAAAAAATCAACAAATATTTTGGCAATCATGTGCGTATAAGTAATTTATTGATATGAATTAAACTTTTAGCAGGTGTGAGCTCAGTAGCGATAGATGGAGATAAGATGGTGGTGACGGAAGATGGAATCGACCCTGTTAGATTGACCATTTCGCTACAGAAAAAACTTGGTTATGCCACCATCGAAAGCGTGGAAGAACTGGAAAAAGAAGAGAAGAAAGATGAAGTTAAGTTGACCTCATTAGAATCTGTCGTCTATCCACAATTTCCTGTTCGCAGCTCTTATTATATTTATGATGATTTAAACGCAAGCTTTTGCTCCATCTTCTAATTACGATGTTATTTAATGCTCGAGAATCAAGTATTTTATGGATAAGAATTAAACTCTTAACATGTGGAGCTCAGTGACGATAGATGGGAATAAGGTGGTGATGACCGGAAATGGAATCGACCCCGTTACATTGACCATTTCGCTAAAGAAAAAAACTTGGTTATGCCACCATCAAAAGCATGGAAGAAATGAAAAAAAAGAGAAAAAAGATGAAGATAAGTTGACCTCATACAGACCCTATCGTTTATCCACAATTTTCTGTCCACAGCTCTTACTATATTTATGATGATCCAGGCCCAAGCTTTCGCTCCATCTTGTGATTAACGTGTTATTTAATGCTCGAGAAACATATAGTTCATACATATAACCACAAAAATGCTTATTCACAAAAAAAAAAAAAAAAAAAAAAAAAAAAAAAAAAAAAAGACACCTACACACGCACAATGCTTATGATAGATGTATAGAGTACATCTTCTTCCTTCTTCCTTTTTTCGTTTTTTTCCCCCTTGGAATATGGATTACATCTTTGAGTAGTTAATAATCATCTAATATATTGGTCTCTCTCTCCTCCATTTTTTTTTTGTTTGGTTAAATAGACTGTTGGGGTTCCGTTGGTGTTCCTATTTTTATTTCTAGCAATACACACTACACCACAAAAGGCCTTTCGTAGCTGACGAAAAACGCTATTAATCACTATCAATAGCGCTTTTTGGAGCGCTAGGACAGCGGGCGCTATTATAGGTCCTAAGAAAACATAACGTTTTAGAAGAGTTATAAAAAGCGCTATAGAATTGAAGTATTATAGCGTGTAAGAAAAGTTATTTTCATCCTCTTACAGCTCTTTAGCATAGCTACGATACAGAGTAATAACTTTTTTTTCCTGTTATGTTCATACTGTTGTAACTTTTTAAAATTATTATTAATATCCTTTTGAATTCATTCAAATAAAAGTAATTCCGAGATATGTGATATATCTAAATTGGAACATTCAAATTAAAACATAAAAACATTCAACATATCAATTGTTATCAGTATCTACCAAGCTGTCAATAAAATTACGTCTACAACATAATTCATACAGTGTCCAAAACCTTAACATTCAAAACAAGTAAAGAAAACAGAGAAGTCATCTCCAAAACGTCTAAGTGCAATGGTGAAGTAAATCCTTCCATCTTGACATAATACTTCAACAAAAAAGTCAACTCCATTGTTTAACCTGTAAGAAAATGATCCACTATCAAAACAATAATCAAACTCAACTAAAACTTCCACCATTTAACCTATAAATAAAGCAAGGACTGTGACCAGAAATTGCAAAAAGGAAAAAAAAAAAACAAAAAACGGGTAAAATGTACACCGTGAGCATACCTTGCCAAACTGCTTCTTGACCTTCTCTCGCCTAGTTTTCTGAAATTGCAAACATGACACCATTGCAATAGGAAGTAAGACAATGATGCACAAAAACTGAAGCAACCATAGAGTTATAAGAATCTTATAATTTCCAGAAACACAACATACATACAAATAGTACTTGCCAAACATAACTCAAATAGTTCAGGCATATGGCCACAAGATTTATGCTTGACAACATAAATGGGAGCTATATAATTGCTAATTTAATCCTTCTTTGTACCTGATCTCTTTAGGAACATGAGACCAAGTATGATCATCGAAGGTAATGACAATATAACCTTCACAAATATGCATGAGTGCCCACACTGGAATTCATTCAATTGTAGAAAGGCATGCAACAATTTTCAACAATGTTCATTTTAGTACTACCAAGTAATGGGGGGCCTGGGCTGGTGGGGGCCTGGCCTAGGGGCGGGGCCTGGGCTGGAGGGGAGCCTGGGCTGGGGGCG